CTTCCTTGCCGCCCTGATCAGTCGTAAAATATTAGCCACGTCTGCAGCGCGCACGGTATTGTTCAGTTCCCTTGTCGCGCGCACAGTGCGCTCTTGCGTTGTCATGTTTGTTCTGCGCGCCACGTTGCGTAGCCTCCCCGCCTTGTGCATGTTGTGGTCTCGGCATGTCACGCTTTTGATGCTCTTGATCTCTGGCTTGAGATGCTCCCGCAACCCATTTGGGCTGAGCCTTCTTGCAACCAATGGCACCTGTTCGAGGCCGCTGGCTAAAGAGGCGTCAAGAGGCGTTGAAGATCGGGGTCGTCCCGCGGGTCCAGGGGCCGTCGGCGGCCCGCCGCCCGCTTTGTCGCCCGCCCGCGACATGGTTTCCTCGCCCCCCTCCCCCCTCTACTGCCCGTCCAGGGCCCCGAACGGGGGTCAGGCCGTTTTCCGCCGGCACAATGAACGGGCCCCGCGCACCTGGAACCGTTGGTTTCAGCCTTTAGTCTTCCTGTGCTACCTTTGTCCCGCCTTGGCAGTTGGCCGCCCCATTTTGGTTCGGTGTGCAGCCTCTCCCCCCCCTCTCTTCCCCGTCAGCTGTTTGGCTCGTGAGTACTTGTCTCGCGCATTCTCTCGAGCTGCACCTCCCGTGCCATCCACCCGACCAAGTGATGGCGCCCAAGTACTCGAAGCCTGCGCCGACGCCTTGGCCCGCCAAGACGTGCGCCGCGGGAGAGGCACCGACCTCCAGAGTAAGGCCGACGCAGCGCCCTGTTCAGCAGGAAAGCTTGTCGGAGAGCGAAGACGAGGAGTACGACATGATGTCCGAGGCGGCGACCTTTCGGACGGCACCGACAGTGCACGCGGAATCAGCGACTCCCGCTGAGGACGCCGATGGAGGCGGCGGCGCGGGGGCCGCCCCCAATGCCGCCGCCTCCGACGGCGCCTCGGCGACGCCTGCGTCGGCGGTGGCGCCAGTGACGTCGGCCGCCCTGGCAGCGGCAGCCACGTATGCCGACTTCACCGCGGAGCAGCGCCGTGGGCTGGACGCGCTCACCCTCGCGCTCCACAACCTCCAGCTGAGGGGGCATGCTGTGGGTGGCCGTGGCGGCCGCGGGGCGCGCAGCGCTGCTGTCGGCGAGCGCGCCGTGGACGACGGGGCCGCCAGCGAAGCTCCGAGTGCTGCGACCACGGGCGCCCTCAGCGGCCATGGAGGCAAACGCCACCGCCGACGCAGCAACAAAGCCGTCTACGGCCAGGCCCCCCAGTGGAGCGACGGCGCACCAGCCGCGCTCGAAGACGCAGAGATGATGATGGAGGAGGACTACGTTGAGGCGGGCTACGTCCACTGCATGGGCGCGCACTGGGCCCCGCCGCACCGCCTGGGCTGGTGTCGGAGGTGCGCGGCGCTGGGCGACTGGAAGATCATGGCGGTGGAGTACGTGGACGAGCTCAGCTGTGCGGAGATGCGCCGCTATGCGGAGGCCAAAGAGTGCAGCGAGAAATGCCCCGAGCTGAGGAAGGGCAAAGAGGGGCAGTACAAGTTGTACATGTGCTCGAACTGCGTGGCGACGACGCAGGGCATCTCCGAGCGCGAGGCCGCGACGCGCGCTGCGCGCGCGAACAAGGGCCCAGGCTCCATTGACCATGCCGCCAAGCGGGTGGAGAAGTTCCGTGCGAGCTTCGACTACATCAAGGAGGGCATGGACGTGCTGGTGGGGTTCGCGCTCTCAGAGGAAGGCTTGCTTGCCCTGCGGAGGTCAACGGAGGGCGCGGGGGTGGGCATCGACCCCGAGAGCACCGGCGCCCCCCCAGCCGCGGAAGAAGTGGCGAGGGAGGTGGACCGCCCGATGGCGAGGGAGGTGGGGGTGGTGCCAGGGCCGCCCCGTGCGCCGCCCCCGCCCCTCGAGGAAGAACCTCCCAGTGATGAGGAGAACGACCCTCCGCCCGACATAGACGCGGAGGACCAGGAGCTCCAGCTGACCGAGGTCAAGACCGTGAAGGAGGTCACGGACATCGAGCCCCCTCTGCGGCTCGGCCTATCCGATCCAAAAAGTCGCTGAAGCGCATGGCGCGGGCCTATGGCGTCCTCAAATTCGAGACCATGCGCGCCCACACGCTGGGCGGCCTGGGGCCCATCCTGGAAAATAAGGAGGACATGGTGAGGGGCACCGAGGCGCAGGGCGGAGTCCAGAAGTGGCTCGACGCGCTGAACGAGGAGGCGGAGGTGGATGTGGGAAGGCTGAAGAGGGGTGTCCTGGAAGCCTCGGGGATCGCAGATGCCCGCCTGGGACACAAACGTGCCTGGAAGGAGGAGTGCCAGGGCAACGCCGCGGCGCAGGAGGCCTACCGCCGCATGGGCGACTACGCGGACCAGTTCTACCGTGGCAAGGGCTTCACGTTCAACATGTATTACAAGTGCGCGGCCAACAAGACCTGGGATAATCCCAGGGGGTGCTGCTCGGTGATCCGCTCGGATCGCTGGTCACAGCTGCTCTCATGCGCACAGGCGGCAGCGGGAGAGACGGGCCAGCGCTGGTACTGCCACTGCGGCGCGCGCTACTCGACCTCCTACGGAGTCCTGCGTCGAGTTCATAGAGGAAGAGGCGGGCCCGCCACGCGCGTACTACATGCGCGCGGAGCATCCCGAGGAGGACATCCGCGACCTGAAGGCCCTGCTGCGCTACGACAAGCTCCAGAGGGAGGGGATCTCAGTGGTCAACGCGGTGGACCTCCTGAGGCACCTGCCCAAGGTTGAGCCGCTGGCGGTTGGCACCGTCTTCAAGCGCTACGCTCCGCACCAGGCGCAGTGGGAGGGCCACTATGTGCTGATGGAGGGGCTCACCTGGGAGAGCTTGACCAAGTTCGAGTGGGCCGACCTCTACGCGCAGGTCGCCTGGGGACTGAACGACCCAGAGTGGACGGGCTACAGCAAGACGGCGCGGAACAAAGCCAAGAGGGAGCGCCTGGAGATGGCGCGCAGGGAGTTGGCGCTCTACGAGCGCCGCCACAACCTGAAGGAGGGCAGCCTCCTTGGCGGCGGGGGTGGTACAGGGGTCGCCCCGCGCGCCGCCCCCGCTCGCAACGCCGGCGCCCCGCCAGCGAGCGGGGCCCGCGGCAGCCGGGGCCCGCCGCCACCGCCAGCTGAAGTCCCGCCAGAGGCCGCGGCCATCATGGGCCCCCCGCGGCCGCCGCCGACGGCGCCCCCCGATGCGCCGCCGCCGCCGACGCACCCGCCGCCGCAGACGGACCCGCTCCCGCAGCAGATCCCATGCGCTGCTGCCCTGAACGTGGCCCTTGGTGAAGACCTTGAGCGCCAGATCTTTGGGCCCTCAGGGCAGGCGGGGGGCAGTGGCGACCTCGGCGGGGAGGTGCGGGCGCTGCCGTCGCAGGTCTTCGCGGCCATTGCGCAGGGAGCAGGCCAGCAGGCTTGAATGATAATGCCCAGCAGTTCCAGGGCCTCGGCAGGCCGCGTGAATCCATGCCAAGTTGTCTAACTTGCCACTCTCTGTAGTGCGGCGTGCCCACAGCGGCGCCCCCCTCGCGTGGCTGCACCTCTGGCTTTTGCCTCGGCTCGGCGCATGACTACCTGTGCGCCCAGCCACCTTGGCTCGCCAACTGGCTTGCCATCTCGGCCCCCTCGCGTTCACTTGCGCTCGTTGGCTCCGCTGGCGGTGCTGGGGCAGCCCCGTGTACTGCAGCGTCGCCGTCGGGCGCCTGGCCACTTTGGCTTGCCATCCTGGCCTCCTCTCGCGCCTTCTTGCGCTTGTAGGCCATGATGGCGGTGCTGGGTCGCCCCGTGTGCTGCTACGCCGCCGCCAGCGCCTTACTTTTTGCTGTGGGGGCCAGCTGCCCTCGGCCAGGCGCCTGCTGCTGCGTGCACGTCAGACCCGCCCTTGGCTTGTCATCCAGGCCTTGCCTCGCGTCTTCTCGCGCTAGTTGGCCTGGGTGGCGGTGCTGGGGTCGCCCCGTGCGCTGCTGCGCCGTTGCTGGCGCTTCACTTTGGGCCGTTGGTCCACTTGCCCACTGTGCAAGCGCCTGCCGCTGCAAGTATGTCAGACCCGCCCTTGCACCCAGAAGAGGTGCGCGCTACATACTGGCAATGAGGCAGCCACAAGGACGCTCTTCCCTAGGTGGTTGAGCCGTGGTGATGTGGTGCACGAGACCGTCAGTAGTAGTAGTAGTAGTAGTAGTAGTAGTAGTAGTCGTAGTCGTAGTCGTAGTAGTAGTAATAGTAGTAGTAGTAGTAGTAGTAGTAGTCGTAGTCGTAGTAGTAGTAGTCGTAGTAGTCGTAGTAGTCGTAGTCGTAGTTGTAGTAGTAGTTGTAATCTCCGTAGTAGTAGTAGTAGTAGTAGTAGTAGTAATAGTAGTAGTAGTAGTAGTAGTCGTAGTAGTAGTAGTAGTAGTAGTAGTAGTAGTAGTGGTAGTAGTAGTAGTAGTCGTAGTCGTAGTAGTAGTCGTAGTAGTAGTCGTCGTCGTCGTCGTCGTCGTCGTCGTCGTAGTAGTAGTAGTAGTAGTAGTAGTAGTCGTATTAATCGTAGTAGTAGTAGTAGTAGTAGTAGTCGTCGTCGTCGTCGTAACAGTAGTCGCTTAGTCGTAGTAGTAGTCGTAGTTAGCGTAGGAGGAGGAGTAGCAGGAGGAGTGGCAGGTGAAGGAGGACAATGATAAGGTTTCGCACCTGCGCTACTTTCGCGAGCTCCTTGGGTCCAGGGCAGTGCATTCACGCGCGGATCAGCCTGGGCCTCGCGCTCCTTGGGGCGTTGCCAACGGGCTGTCGGTGCTTTCGCGAGCTCCTGGGAGGTCGGCGCAATGGAGTGTCGCGCGCGCCCAGACAAGACCTCGCCCTCCCTGAAGCGCTGCCAATTGCGCAAGCCTCGCCGCTTTCGCGTGCTCCAGGGGCGCGGGGTGGCACGGGCAGGGGGGGGGTCAGGGCAGTGGGATGGGTGGAAGGACAGGGGCGGGGAAGGAAGAGGGGCGCGACGGGGGATGGACGGGCGCGAGGGGGGCTCGGCTAACCGCAGCCGCCAGCCGCTTGGCCGAGTTGCGTCCTGCCCATGTCGGGGGCGCCCCGCTCCACGAGAGCATGCGCCCTCTCATCGTGAAATGGGGGTCGGACGCGGCTTTGAAGTCCAACGACGTGGAAAGCTGCGTCGACAAGGCCGCCAAGGCCATCGAGGCGCTCGGCGACGTCGAGGCCGAATCTTAGAAGTGGAAGGTACCGTGCGACTTCGGGCACATCCGCGCGCAGGTGTTCGAGATGGAAATGGCGTTCCAGACGGTGCAGCAGCAGCTCCTCTCGCACAAGAGCTGCATCGACAAGGTTTCCGGTAGGGGCGCCTCAACCAAGCGCGCCGAGAAGCGCCATTGGCGTGACCGGCGGAACCGAGCGCAGAAGGTGTACGAGAAGACCAACGTTCCTGAGTCTCTGGCGAAAGTGCTGGCCGACCAGCTGTGCGCGACGCACTCGGGCCCCCAGAAGTTCGGCATCCGCCTGGCCTGCTTGTCAGAGGAGCTCGCCGTGCCCAACGGCGCCGCCAGGTCGGCCTTCGCTTTCCCCCGCATGATCACGTGCAACGGTTTCGCGGACGGCAGCGGCGCGCCCGCGGGGGCCACGCGCTGGCGCGAGGAGTGCCGCAAGATGATCAAGGACAACATCGCCGCGTGCAACCAGAAGAAGGTGAATTCTGCACGCTTCGCGCATCCCCACCAGCCCATTCCAGAACAGCAACTTGTGCGAAGCATGCCGGCAGTCCTGGCTTTCGGGCGCACCTCCTCTTGCCCACGCATGTCTCCTTCTACTTCTCTGGGTCTTTCGCTCTGGGAGCCTCTTGGAGGCATCTTGCCCGTGGTGCCTCTCGGGGCTCCCTTGGGCCCCCCTTGGGGCTCTCTGGGGGCGCTGTTGGGGCCCTCTTGGGGCTCCTCGGGGGGTCTGGGAGGTCTCTTGGGGCCATCTTGGAGGCGATCGATCAAAACAGGGACGAGCACTTTTCTCTGTCCCCCCGTCGGGTCCCGACACCCTATGAAATTACAGCATGCGGCGCCATTTCGGCTGCCCGTCTTGGACGCCCTGACGACCCGCGGAACGGCCTCTCCAGGTCCAGGGGGGGGTAGGGGGGGGGGGGCAGGGGGAGCGGTCAAGACTCCCTCCTCGCCCGCAAGCCGTCTCGCTCACTCCCACCCGCCCTCCCGACACATACGTAGCACCCGAGTCTGGCCCGAGCCTCAGCATATTCAGCAGTCGTCTTTGGATGGGCAGCTGCTGGGGGGCCAGTCCGCCGCCGCCGCCGCCTCCGCCGCCGCCGCCGCCGCCGCCGCCGCCTCCGCAGCCCGCCGCCGCCGCCTGCCGCCGCCGCCCGCCGCCGCCGCCGCCGCCGCCGCCGCCGCATCCGCTGCCGCCGCCGCCGCCGCCGCCGCCGCCGCCGCCGCCGCCGCCGCCGCCCCCTGCTGCCAAACCGCCGCCGCCGCCGCAGCCGCTGCCGCCACCGCCACCGCCGCCGCCGCCGCTGCCGCCGCCGCCAAGTGTACCATGTATGGTTGTTTTGACAGGGATGGCGCCGCCGCAACCGCCGCCGCCGCCGCAGCCGCCACCGCCGCCGCCGCCAAGTGTACTTTGTATTGCTTTGTGATAGGGATGGTGTGGGGGGGGGCCGCTTCGGGTTTGCTGCGCATGTTCCGAATTTGGAGGCAGAGTGTGGTTTGCATTGTTTTGTTACAAGGAATGGTGTGTGGGGGGTCGTCGCCACTTACCCTGGTTGGCCCCCAGTCGCCTGGGGGAGGGGGTGTTTATTTATAGGGAACACTCCTCCCCGAAGGGGGAGAAAGGGGTTGGGGGCAGAGAGGGCTCCCTTAACCACTCACGCCCAAAGGGCTGGTGGGATTGCGAGGTGAGCATTCTGCGAAGCAAGTCGGCGTCTTGCAAGGCGTCCGTGGCCCCGCAAACCGCCTTTCAATTCACTTCGGCTGAGTGCCCCGACGTGTTCGATGCCGTTGGTGGACTGCGGCCCCTCTTATACGTGGCAAAAGGTTAACGCGTTCGACCTATCCCTCGAAGCCCTCCGCACCGGGGTTGCGGCATGTTCATCTTCGCCTTGGATCGCGACGTCGGGTTTGTCGCCATCTCGGGCAGGGAATTGGTCGAGCACCAGCACGTGGCGAAGTGCCTCCAGACAGTGGCGCCCCAGGCGCCCGCCAACAACAGCGCCGCCATCGTCAAGGCGGGGAATGCCATCTACTCGCCTTTCGGCAGCGTCCCGTGCGTTGTCGGCACCCCCAAGGAGGTGAACTTCGAAGTGGCGCCCGAGACCACGGCCAGGAGGAGGAGGTCGTTCGAGGGAGCCGAGAAGATCGAGACGTGCACGCGCGGGGCCCAGTTGGCTTTGGACTCCCAGCGCGACGCGAAGTGCAGCAAAAAGATGACGCTCGCCGCGGCGTCGCAGTGGGCGCGGGCGCCCCCGCGCGCGATGAAGAGCACTGTTCAGTCGGAGCGCGTGGCGGCGTGGAAAGACGCCTTGGGGGGGGCGGGCCACGCGGCAGAAGACGAATCCTGCGGGGGCCGCGCGCCCCAGACTGACGGGCTGCTGCGAGGCAGGCTTGGGGCGCCCAGCTCGGTGGGCGGGGGGGGGCGCGGGGGCCCTAGGGGCCCCGGCGATTCCGATCGCAGTAAGCGGCGAGCGGCAGGGGGCGGGCGACGCGTCGAGGGCATCTGACCTCGCAAAGCACACGCGGCGATTTCCGTTGTAGGCCCCCTCCCCGACGATGGTCAGTCAGATGGGTCGGCAGGGTCGTTTGGGGGGTACTCTCGCGCGCGCCGCGCGTGCCGCGCGCCGCGCGCTGCCATCGGGGGCGCGCGCTGGCTGCCACCTGGCGCGGTCCAGGGCGAGAGCGCAGCGCCGCTCTGCCAAGGGGGGCGTCGCCGCGGGGGCGAGCGGCGTGTGAGGGACACGGCGGCGCCCTGGCGCCGCGGCCCGAGTGGCCGAGCAGCGGGAAACATTATCGCTACTGTCATTCCTCCCTCCTGCGGCCCTTCCTCGCCCCCCTCCTCCTCTCTGGGCATCCTCGCCCTCGCCCCCCGTCCTCGCCCCCCCCCCCCTCTCCCTCCCGCCCCCAGCCGCCGTTGCCATTTCGGCTCGGTCGCCATGGGCCCGCCCCTATTCGGCCCGCGGCCGGCAGGCCAATGCCGACTTGCACCGCGGGGGCGCCGCGTGGGCGACCCCCGCCGTCGGGCGTGCGAGCGCGCCCCGGCTGGGTGCGAGTTCCGAGCGCGATGTTCAAGCGCATTCGTACTTTCAGTTTCTTCTGCGCGTAGGAAGAAAAGGGTCAGTTGGCCCCTGGGGATCGGCGAGCGCGCGGGCTGCGCGGCCGCCTCCATGCGTTTGGCGCGGTGAACTGACACTTCATATGCGCCCTCCGCGCGGTCCACTTGGGGCGCGCGGCGTTTCCATGGAGGTTGGTCAACGTCGCGGGCGTCGCGGCGCTGGCCGTTGCGCTGCGCGGTTCTCTTCGTGGGAGGGCCGAACGCAAAATCCGACGCAAAGCTCAATCCCACCAGCCCTCTGGGCGTAAGTGGTTTAGGGAACCCTCTCTGTCCTCAACCCCTTTCTTCCCCTTCGGGGAGGGGTTTACCCCCCCCCCCCCCTGGACCTGGAGAGGCCGTTCCGCGGGTCGTCAGGGCGTCCAAGATGGGCAGCCGAAAGGCGCCGCATGCTGTAATTTCATAGGGTGTCGGGACCCGACGGGGGGACAGAGGAAAGTGCTCGTCCCTGTTTTGATCGATCGCCTCAAAAATGGCCCCAAGAGACCTCCCAGACCCCCCCAAAGAGCCCCAAGAGGGCCCCAACAACGCCCCTAGAGAGCCCCAAGGGGGGCCCAAGGGAGCCCCGAGAGGCACCACGGGAACCCCAAAAGGGCCCAGAGACTTCCAAAATATCCCCAAGAAGGTCCCGGGATACCCCCAAGATGCCTCCAAGAGGCTCCCAGAGCGAAAGACCCAGAGAAGTAGAAGGAGACATGCGTGGGCAGGAGGAGGTGCGCCCGAAAGCCAGGACTGCCGGCATGCTTCGCACAAGTTGCTGTTCTGGAATGGGCTGGTGGGGATGCGCGAAGCGTGAAGAATTCACCCGTCGGGCAGGGTCCCCCTGGGCTAGTTCGGCGGCGGTCGTTTCGATTATTCTTTGGACAGGCCTCCCCAGGCCATTAGTCGGACCCTTTACAGGAGGAGGAGGAGGAGGAGGAGGAGGAGGAGGAGGAGGAGGAGGAGGAGGAGGAGGAGGAGAAGAAGAAGAAGAAGAAAAAGAGGAAGAGGAGGAAGAGGAGGAGGAGGAGGAGGAGGAAGACGAAGAAGAAGAAGAAGAAGAATAATAAGAAGAATAAGAAGACGAATAAGAAGAAGAAGAAGAAGAAGAGGAAGAAGAAGAAGAAGAAGAAGAAGAAGAAGAAGAAGAAGAAGAAGAAGCAGAAGAAGAAGAAGAAGAAGACGAAGAAGAAGAAGAAGAAGAAGCAGAAGAAGCAGAAGAAGAAGAAGAAGACGACGAAGAAGAAGAAGAAGAGGAAGAAGAATAAGAAGAAGAAGAAGAAAAAGCAGAAGCAGAAGAAGAAGAATAAGAAGAAGAAGACGAAGAAGAAGAAGAAGACGAAGAAGAAGAAGAAGAAGAATAAGAAGAAGAAGAAGAAGAATAAGAAGAAGAAGAAGAAGAAGCAGAAGAAGAAGAAGGAGGAGGAGGAGGAGGAAGAGGATAAGGAGGGAGAGAAGAAGGAAGACAAAGGGGGGAGGGAGAGAGGACGGATTTGTTGGCGTCGACGGCTCCACCTGATTGGCGCCTCTCGGGTGCCCAGCAAAGACGCCCGTGTGGGGCAAGCTGCATGTGACAAAAAGTAAAACAGGCCGCTTTGGCCCTGGCCATTGCGAGGGAACTAAAAGCGCTGAGCTACACTGACAACCGACACTGAAGCATGGGCTCGGCGCGGATGAGAATGGCGCCCTTGCGCAGAGGGCACGCCATCCCGTCGTAGCGTGGCGTGGGGGATGAGCGTTGCTTTGATCTTGCGAACCTTTTTGTTTATCATACTCTCAGTGCAATGGAATTTGCACCCGATGCAAATGAAGAAGACATAGCAGCAGTCAACTGAAGGTGATACTTTTGAGTGGCCTTACCGCTTCAACGCATGGTTGTCGAGTTTAGACAATTCTGAAAGCATCCCATGAGGCGGCATGGTGTGTGAGCGAGCACCCTTGAGACAACGATTACATCGCCATATTCCAGATTACTGTGCTGAGGCCTCTCTTGTATGGATGCAGGAGGCTCAGGGAGCCTAGGCGCATCAAGAGAGAGAGAGAGAGAGAGAGAGACCGAGAGAGAGAGAGAACGATACAGAGAGAGAGAGAGAGGCATAGCAAGAGAGAGAGAGAGAGATAGAGATAGACAGAGGGATCTATATATAGAGAGAGAGAGAGAAAGACAGACAGAGAAAGAGAGAGAGAGAGGAATCAACTAGCCTAGGTCATAACGGAATCATGTCAGCAACGCGGATACACACATCTAAATTACGGCTTCCGTGCCTGCAGGGTCTGAAGGATGTAGCTGGATACCATGCTTGGCACGGACGTCTACATCGGTATTGCTATAGCGTCGAAATCCCTCTGGTTTTGAGATGCCCACGCATTTTGTCTACATTTTTGGT